AAATACATTAATTTTCAGGCTTTTGTCCGCGTAAATATAAAACGAATTTAATCCAGAAATTGGCGACTGGAGTGCGCTCCAGCAGCTGCAAAAATAGTCCGCAAAGATGGCTTTCCAGATAAATTCCTCCTCCGAATTAGTAGGGAATGTGCCACAAAGCCTGTCGTTTCAACCTCAGAAATGAAACATTTATTTCTAAGACTTAGATTTCTGGCAGACATAACATGCGAACTAATGAGATGACGTCTAAAAACAGCTCTGACGATTGCCTTTCCCGCGGCACATATTCTTCGCAAACTCTTCTCCCCTATGGTTGAAGGGTGAACACCGACTGCTCCTGTGGGGCGGAATACACTGACCATGCAGTGTGGTGTCTGCAAAGGAGATTCCAGTCTTCCGTGGTCTATCGTGACAACGAAGAAGGGTGGGTGAGGGAAGAGAGGTGGGAATTGTCGAGCCTGATGGCTGTTTTGTCCTCCAGCAGTGTAAAGGGAAAAGCCGATCTATTTTAACTTCAATTATCTCACACTTAGTCGAAAGGAACCCCCAAATCGACGCCAGAGAAGTCTCTCAGGTTATCTACTTGGCACCATTACACCACTATAAGGGCCTACACAAACGGGTACTAGCAACAGTTGAGTTATTCGATTAGCAAATCCAGCGTTCTCTTGTCAAAAGGCGTTGATATAAGCCGTCGAACCAAATCCAGTTGGTCGTCGCACGCCAGCCCAAAGCCCTGACAACAGTCACACGCATTTCGCGTGTACGTTATACAAACAGCGTTCACACCCTACCCCTGCTTCCCACCCTAGCTCCAACCTCTTCAACACGCTGACTCCACCATGTAGGCAGTGTGGGAACGACAAGTGTGACTAACCCTTCCCCTGGAACACATCCTAATCCTGTTTCTAGCTCATGTGTTGATGCTCCTGATGAGGATAAATTACCGAAAGCATATATTTGTCAGCTGGCATTTCAGAAGAAAGTTCACTGTTGACAGGTAAAATCATAATATGGTGTTATGCTTTCTCCAAGAGCTTTTTTCCACTGATATTGGACAGCGTCGAATACACGAAGACCCTAAGTTCATTGATTTGGTTTATTTGGATTATTTTTAATGCCTATATCAATATGATTGCCAATAGTGGAGAATATGCGAGTTCCAGGAAGCAGTTCAGAAGAAGAGGATGCGACCACTGGAACAAGAATTTTATTTTCCTGACGTTTCGGTTTCCGTTGGGAGTCCTTATTCATAGGTAATGATAGCATAGTCATAGTCATGCGCAGATAGGGTTGAAGCATGCAAAGGTTGCACGGTATTTATAGTTCATAGTGGTTATCTCCGTGCGTACGATAATTATCCACTTCTGTATGATTGGGAACAGTAAACAGCGAACAGCTATTTGACTAATATGTGTATGGTGTCCGTGACTTGTTTTTCTACCTGTAAAATTAGCTAATATTTTGGTTTTGGATTTTGAAATTAAAAAAGCGACAAGTGTGCAGTGCCTATGTAATGGGGTAGTTTGCGAGTGTCTCCAGCAGAAAGGTTGAGTGAATGGGGTTTCAGAAAACTACGGCTCAATAAAAGGCATTTTCGAGCAAAGCTCTGGCACTGAACTCTGTAGCGGCAGTAGATTAATTAGGCTCAGGACACAGAATCTGTAGTACTTGCATTAGGCTATTTAGCAGGAATTCACAGATAAGGCTGATTAGTTTGCACTCCTGTGCTTTTTTCGTAGCACTTACCCCAACAGAACAAAACAAAAAATGATCGAAAGCGCACATATGCTCGATTCGCGCATTGTTAGAATACATCATGGTCAAAAAAATGAAAATTGGCTATTGGAAATGAGACCAAACACAGCCATTCTCGACGTGGATGAACTTTCAAAAATGAACTAAAGGAAGAAACTTGCCGAAAATACTGAACTTTCACAATAAGTCACATATAAATCTAGCTTATATTTTAAAATTCTCCTTAAAGTCAGCCCAAGCCGTTAATTAGCGGAAGCTGTTTCAATCAAAATACTATAGCTAGGATAGAACCAGGCCGAGAATAATATTTGCCCGTTATCAGCCCGCTCGAGAACCCGACTGATTCGTGTGTTTGGCCTAGTTTAGACAATTTCACAATAAAAGCTTATAACCATTTCTTCTTTAAAGCCAAGTTCACATCAAAACGATAACTTCACAGTAAGCTCAATGATTGGTAGCCTTCCAATCCGCTGCTTTTAGTGTATCGTGATAATTCGTTGGATTATTTATAATTAGGAATATCCACTAAGTGCTGTGGGCACGTAGGCAGCAGAGTAAAACTGTACCCAACTCCAGTACATTCTACAATCCGATAAGCCATCTGATGCTGGGAATAGGCGCAAGGCACATACCACCTACGCATGCCGCACACGACCAGCCGCAACGCAATACGGTGCTCACGCAGGCCAGAACGGATGCGGGAAGGTAAAAGAGTGAGAGAGTGTGTGGGTGGGCCGCAAGGTAAGCTTAGTTCTTGTACTTTCGTTCTTGTTCTCGATCTTTCGCTCTTCGCTTCCGCTTCGCCCTCGCTGCTCTTAGGCCTACTGCTGAAAGGTTCGATGAGTTTCCGTGCTTTTGTTTCCCGTCCTTTTAATTTTCACTCTTCTGCTTCGTTCTCTCTGTTTTCTCTCTCGTTCTCTGTTTGTTCCTTTTCTCTTTTCTCCTCCCCCTCTCTCTCTTCCTTCCTTTCTTCGTTACTGCCTCTCGCTCTCCTCCTTCTCATTCGCTTTTTCTCTCCTTCCCCCTTACCCCCTTCCTCTTTTCTTGCGCAACCTGCTCTATCATGCTTATCTCCGATCTATTCCCCTTTTCAGCGTTGTGCCCATCCCAACTCAGGCGGCCGACAGCTAGGCGGTGGCCTGTTTCTGGCGGTGGGAGGGGGAGAG